GTCTTTGGCCGGTCAGTTGAACAAGTAGTAGCTGGTTTTCTTTCAGGAAGCATGTGCAATACGTGCCAAAATCATCGCAGCTGTGATTTCTCAGTATGGAGAAGCAAAGGCTGTGCGCCAAGGCTTTTTAGGGTGCCCGTACTCTGGGTCCTGTCGAGACGCGTGAACCCAACGATCCTTGTCAGCAAGCCCGTTTCAGCCGTCTGTACCCAGAATCGAAGTTTTCAGATACTGCCCACGACTCATGATGATGGGTTACCATGGGGGCGAAGATCAAGTTGAACACTGAGAGCTTTGTCTTTTAACTCTGATTTAGTCACAACTATTCGGGCTAGCTCAAGCAGGACGCGAAGATGCTGTCTGCGCGAACCAGATTCTTATCGCAGTCTTTGCAGTTTTCCTCAATAGCTTCTGCGGCCTTTGGCCTTTTACATCCCTGGCGACGATTGAGCCGGTTTAATTGCGTTAATACCATGAGGAACACATGGCTAAATTTTACGGTAGATTTTGTCACCATCGCCAACCGGCATCCTTTCTAATGCGGATTTGGCACCGACAACATTGGGGTTACGACGCAACATCTGTACAGATTTTCAAAGGTGGTCATTTCTTAAAAATGAAATTATTTTGCAAGATTTTCTCAGGATAAAAACTTCATTGCAATTTTGGATGAAATGAATCGATGCAGTACGTAATTTATTACAACGCTGATTATTGTTCATGCATTGAATGGTTATAACGTCAATCTTGGGAAATTAGTTTCACGTGTTTATAGAAGAAAGCGGATCGATAGCTGCCAGCGACTGCCCATGGTAATATTCTTCGAGTCAACGGTCGTCTCTCCCCCCGCTAAAATTTATATGGGCGTGGACAAGTACGAAAATGAAGACCTTATTCGATGGGGATGGCCGGAAGATGTGTGGTTTCACGTAGACAATGTAATTCACTCATAAAAGTTTTGATTTTATGCTGCTGATTTGTTTCGTTTCTCTGTTGTAGTACTATCAATTCAATTTATTGAGTCTTTACAATACATTAACTTTGGAAATTGTATTTTCAAGCTCTGAGTACCCATATACTCTTGTTTAAGAACATCTTCTAAGCAGTATTCCTGTATAGAATATCCTAATTATTGTCTCATGTTCTGGATACCTGGATTTTGTATCAAGGACAGAGCAAGCGACGTTAATCGAGATGGTCAAAATCGATTAGCAAGCAATTTTACGTAATGAATACTCGTATGTATGTTTATTGCATATCATGTTATGTTTACATGTTAGACGAATTTAACAGTCGCGTAGTAGTTTGATTCTTCAATTCTCATTCATAGCGGCGTTCGTTTCGATATTTAACCAAATAACAAGTTGTTGTTTTAAACAAGTTAAATTGGTTCTGTTTTCGTTCTCTAATTAGTTTTCATTGTATGCGGCGGATTTTCTTTTTTTATATCGTTATCCCTCACAAGACGTACTTTTGTACTGTTCATTATTGACAGTACCGTGAAAAAGATATAATAAATGATTAAGAAATTTCATCTTTGCTTAGTTACCTCCACAATGGCTTAGCAAATTTGTTATAGTCCACCAACGATGCGCTGAACCGAAACCTTATTTGTTATTCATAATCAAGGAGTCAAGTGCTGATTAAGTTTTTGTTCCTTATGTACTTTCTAAAACTTTCCGTTGATAGGTGTCATCGGCTCATGTTTATTTACGGCTGGCAAAAGGCCAAACATTGGACGATATTCCTACGAAACTGTTACAGGACTGCGCTCAGCTGGTGAAGGCGAACAGCATCCATGGAAGCAAAATGTCAACGGTGAAAGTTGTTTACACGGCGTGGAGCAATCTACTGAAAACGGCGTCGATGGACGTCGGTCAGGTCGGTTTCAAGAACAAGGCTGATGTCAGGTATATGGCCATCGAAAAAAAGGACAATGATGCTTTGAAGAGGTTGAATAAAACGAAGGTAGAGAAGAACGTCGACCTGAGAGGTGAGCGCGAAAGACGTGATGCTGAGGAGCGGATAGAAGCTAAGCGACTGTTGAAAGAGCAAAAACAGTGGAAGAAAGAAGAGGCGATGAAAGCTGAGGAAGAAAAGCGATTGAGATCGTTCGCAGATCTGATGACTCCCGAAAAAATGACCTCCAACAAGGATGCTGGCTATGACTCCGATGAGTTCATGTAACCGTCAAATGAGCGGTCGTTTTTCGGTTCACGTTCTGATTATTATTGTTCAGTTTTTTCAGTGGTTTAGGACAATACAATAAACTGTCGTCCGACTCTTGTTTGCATCCTACAAATTTATACTCTAAGACCGTTATGACAGTTATAAGGGCATCAGTGCCTAAAGCGTATGTAGTCATGGTTGCATCAGCGAATTCTAATCATGTGTAAGTCACAGTCAAATTAAGTTCTACGGCTTGATGGCAATGCTCAGTCTAATGATGTCCGGAGTATAGCAGGTGGAGTTAAAAATTTACGTATGCTCTACTGTATTCGCGAAGGAGATTTTCCTAAACAATCATCTGCCTCGATTAGGCCTTTCCAAATTTCATGCTGCCGGAGTGGCGGTGTCCGCGGTTTCGAACCTGTCGTAGGATCTTTTGATTGATTGATGTTTCGTCGCTACACATTCTATTACGAAACAATGAAATTCACCTTTCCTCGAGCAATAAGAAGGCTTTAGTTCTTCGATTGTGGATAGTACCTGTTACCTCGTTGCTCGTTACAGCTAACGAACAATGAGGATGTAGAATAAAGCGTATAAAACGTTGTTGGAACACGCCTCATGTACTTTCGCAAGGTCACCGTTTCTTAGTTCTACAGTAAAATCGAGATCGAGACAGATGTCTTGAAGAACTTGAATTTCTCAGCCAAATGCATGCTTTGATGACATCACATCTTTAAGCTTCAAGTCAGTCGCTCCCAAAGCAGTTCTTCCATTACCTCCATGACGCAGCGGCTGTAGTGCATAATCACATAGCCAAGATATTTGTAGTAGTCAACTTCGTCCTTAAAAGAAAATAGAACCTTAAACTAAATACTCAAATCCTTGCATGCCTGGGAGCCGTGCACTGGCCGTAAACGCGTTGAATGGAAACACAACCGTTGCTGCACCAGAAATGCGCCATAGTGTCAATTTGAAGTACGATTTCTAACGGTCAAACTATAAATTTTTGCCGCTGTGATGCTTAAACAATGTTAGCCTCAGATGTTGATGACAAAACTTAACGCCAGTAATTTTGATAGCTTATAGTAGCAACGGTCGATGATAAAATAGCATAGCTAAAACATGCCTGTAGTCATGTTTCACGGCCTGGACAACGTTTTACATTAATTTAAAAAACCGATCAGCGGTTTATTTACAAGTGATATACGAATGATCTAAGAACAACTCACAAGAACATTGAAAAAATGAAAGACCTCGTCCTCATCGACCACTGCTACTTCGGTTTTGCATACGCTGCATTCGACGGGATGAAACACGTCCGAATCGCTTGTTGTTACGCCCGAGAGATTTTCACGCCGTCTAATCTTACCTTTACGACCTGACTCCTTGAAGTAGAGGGTCTCGTCGTTTTTCACTGTACAGTTTTCGACGAACATCGCGCGGTACTGCGTGCAGTACACCGCGTGCCTAAAGCAACTTCATTTACGACGGAAACCAACACTTAATAAGAGCTACAGTACACATTCTGGGACAGAAAACGGCCACATGTTGATTTCTGAACAGAGGTATTCATCTGTGACACCCTTTATACGAAACTTTAAACCATTTTGGAACGATCAAAAGAAAATGTCAATGTGAAGCTTTATACAAAACAACAGAATCTACCTTATGTCATCCTTCTTCAGTTTTGTTTAAAGGTGGGATGTGCAGCTATGTTAAACGACAAAAGTATTACAATGAAAACTACGAAGCGAACTCTTACATAACCAAGAATTTCAAGAAAAAAATGTTTCTTCTTTCGTAGCTATACACTGCACATATTTAATTTTACCTTCCATAATTCATAATTCAATTTTACCTTCCTTACGATGCGTATTTTTTATAAAAGGACTAACACAGAAACAATTCATCCAAAAATGGGTTTAATCGCCTATAACACCGCTCCTTACTCTTAAACGTTTAGACGGTGACAGTGATACCTCCTGACTGTGAACTCCCATTGTCATTGTGAACTGCCATTCCACTACCGTTCAAGTGGAACCTTCTCTGACGTGCTGTCACATGGCATCGCGTTGCCTGCTTCTTTCGTTCAGAACAGGTTGCTACTTAGGTACTGACTGGCATTTTCATCTTCCCATGAAGAGAACTGAGAACGTTTAAAAACACTGTCTGGTGCTGCTGCCTTGATAAACCAGAAACATAAGTGGTGATCGAAACTGACCGACTGATACCTAGGGGATCATTTAGCAAGCGACGGCTCCATGATGTCTGTACCCCTGCCGTGCTGGCGTCCGGCTTCATTTCATTCACTGATGAGTGTTACTGCCATTCATAAACCCGCATGAAATCTAAATGTGACTTGCTCCGCTTAAAAAAGCGGTCAATTCGCTTAGTCAACGTACTATTTGTTAGAATATTGGGTATTCTCTGTACACAAACCAGCAATCAAAAGCTAAAAATCGTATCGCCCAAGTATAGGGGATTATTTAAGAAGTCGGCAGTTTCACTATGTTTAGCATATTAAATTTAGTTTTAATTAACTTTACTAAAATTATGTTTCTGTCTGCTAAAGCATACCTTTGACAATCAAGGCACAACAATGACATGCAGGAAGGGCAGTTCAAAACGGCATCGGTCTTTCGAAGCGGTATGTTCAGAGGAATGTCGGGTCTCATTAATCTTCTGTGCGTCTGAACCCATCGTTCGTCGTCTTCGTCAGCGTCAGGGTCATAGAAATCGTACGAATGACCAGTCAGTCCCTCTGCGTTTTGGAATTCTAGAATTTAATAAAAGTACGTAAATAATACGAAACACAGCCTTCTGCTCATACATCAGCAGTCATAAGAAAAACATCGAAAACTATTTATTCGATGAATTCGGTGTTAACAGATAATAAGAACAGTCCCCCGATCAAAGGGCTATAGGCAGAAGGAGTCACGTTCAAGTCATGGAGCCGTGTCCTGCTTAAATGGTCCGCTGCGACTAGAAACAAGGGGACGTACTTACGCCGCTTCAATAAGGTATAAAAAACTCAAAAGGATCAAATTTGTCAGCGGCAGTATGGATAACTAGCAGTATGCTAGTAAACCCATAAGATCGGGTTTTATTTATTTTTTGTATCGGTTTAAGGTTCAGAATATTCGACATCTGCAACATCATCAACCCAATGAGCTGACTGGACAAAAGGCTGACGGAAACATGCGGCAGGCATCAACGAAAATATCGAAAGAGAGCTCTGAGTAGGAAAACGCAGTGAACTGAATAACTCTGCCATACAATAGGATGTGAGCAGAACTGTTCGAAACAAAATCAACTGGCAAAAGAAGATTGACGCAGCATCGAAACAGAAGGAAAGCATGGCACCGACAACAGCTAACTGAAACGTGCGCGGTCAGCTCAGCATAAAGACAAATGCAACGACACAATAACCGCTAATAAATCTCTCTAAACAAACCAAAGCAACGATTCTATGGCCAATGAACTCCCACCACCCAAATGGGTGAATTCACACATTCAACCCACTAACTGTTCAACACCCTTAGAAACAATTCTTCACAGACCTTTCCCTCTGGATTTTTTGTGCATCCCTGATTTACATAAAAGAAAAACATGCATCAACATAATAAGGGTTCATTCTTCTGTCACTTCTCCGCATTTACACGCTGTAGCGTACTGTTCTCTTGTTCTTAGTAGCCTAGGAGACCGCTAAGCAGGCCACGGTGCCACAGTATTTTAACACCTGTAAATCGGGATAGGTTACAGAAAAATGTTATTCTTACCGATGGTATTGAAAACTAGCACTTTTGTAATAAAACCCATGATAATGGGGTATTTTTGGTATAACAAAGGTTTATAAACCTTTATTTAAAATCACTGCCTAGATACATAGGACGCTACCTTTGAAGAACCAGTAAGTTAAAATATTTTTTGCTAGAAACGTTTACTGCTGACATCTGTCACAGAACAAGCGAATAAATTTGACCCCTGCAGTTAAAAGTACAAATATTTTGAACTGTATCGAATAAACCGTCTTTGGAGTCATATCATTTTCTCATCAAAATCAGAAATGGAAACGAAATTTATAGTAAATAATGTCAGTTCGCAACAATCAGGGTGAAAAGGATCCTCATTAAGTTTTCCTGTTATCGGTGGTACTTTGTTTGTTCTAAATTCGGTACATGTACCGACTGACATTGCAGCAAGGTCGCGATGTGCATGAAAACAACAGTAGTACCTTCATCGGAATCGGTACACTTTTCGTTCAGACCCAACGACGGATCAACTTCGTCCTCAGGTTCAGGGGAGTCAATGGAATTATGAGGCTGTTCCACAGTTACGTTGTACTCGAATTTGCGGAACTTCTTTGCCAACTCACTCTCCATGTCTGTTTCGAACTCGTCCGTCGCTTGCTGAAGAGCTTCAGAAAATCCTTCGCCTCTTTCTTCGTCTTCAGAGCTTAAAAATGTTATTCTCACACCAACACATACATTGACGGCTGATTCTACCAACCTTCCGGCATCGTTGTCGCTGTCACCCTCTTCGGTGATGCAATCGTCCTTCTGGAACGTTACAAGGCGATTCATGGCTGTGTATCGCCAAGTCAACAGATGCAAGTTCGACAGCTATCCAAGGAAATGATGAAACAACTAAAACACGTAATTGTAGTTTCGGATAATTAACCATGTCATGGAAAGAATGGACGCATATAATTCGCCTCTTACCGATAAACTGAACCATCAATAGGTTCTTATTCAATAAGTTTTTGAAACTCTTCACAATGAAGCTTTAATGAAGCTTAATCAAATATACTGCCGTGAGTTTCGTAACCTCGGGAGTGACCACAGCTGCACATCGTTTCTTCATATCTGTTTGAATCACCTACGTTAGCCGAACGTACTTTGATTCACGATATCCGCCGTATTTTGAGCTTTTCAGCCATTGTGCTATAAGATACCGGTTGCTAAATCGTATGAGAAGCTACTCGCCGAACCTCTCTGATAACTTATCTCATTCTACGTTAAAAAATTCACGATGCATGCTCCAAATCGATTGTATTTCGGATTCCGCTATACGTTGGAAGCATGCGGCCAAACAATAGGGTTTACGGTCACTTTGTCGAACATGACCAGTGTGACGAAGATTGTCTGAATGCCAAGCAGAAAAGGTCACTCAACACATGGTCTGTCATTGGCGTCAAAATCAGCAATTTTCGAGGTGACAAACTAATTCAGTTAGGCTATAAGGTCAGACTGATTTCAAACAACAGTCAACAAAAGCACAACATGATAAATGCAGCCTGTGTATGAAATTTTTAACTGGTGAACGACAAATGTGGTCATAATCAGTTTTGGCAGATCCACTGTTGAACGAACGCACCTTTTGACATGTATCAAGAATGCCGATGACAGTCCTCCTTGGGTCCGTCATATCGACCAAAAACTATTATGGTTACAATGTCTGCACTATATGCCGTTTCTTTATCTCAAGCGTTATCACTCAATATCAGAAGAGAGAATTAATCTGAGTGCTGCGAGGCACCAAAAATGGGAAGAGGCACTCCTTCAGCTTTCCACTAAAGTGCTTGACACTGCTACTTAGTCCGTGTCTCAAGGACGGCACATCAACTACCAGGATATGGGTCTTTCATCCAAATAAGCATTTTCAGACATTAGCAAATCGCCGCTGCAAGGCTTACTTCTAAACCAAACGACCTGAGATTTCAGGGGCTAAGAAGTTCGTCTTCACATGCTTCATTCCCTTCTATGCGTATGCTACTGTTGTCGTGTTCCTCCGGTTGTAAATGCATGATAACGAAATCGCCACTAAATTTAGCTGCAAAACTAGGTAGTATGCCATGTTCCTAACCGACTTATCTGTCCACAAGGTGTACAAACTGTCACCAAGATACTGGATAACCCATCCCGTCCATTGAACGACAACATCACTTGCAGTCAGTCATGAAATGCGTCCACCACATCATCCTACGTCGGTAAATCAGCTCTAACCGAACTGCCCAGAAGATTCGAGTCCTTGCTTCGAAACGACCCCGTGCGTCCCGGAGGTTGTCCACCAGCAGTACTTGTCTATGCTCAATATAATACGTGTCGTTTTAGCTTTGACTCAGCCGCCTGCGATCTAATTCATCATATCTTCCCAATTTGTCAAAGTCACTGCATATATTATCTTATTTATTGTCCACCGATTCGATGCTACTCGTTCATTTATTACGCTTTGATTATGCCAAAAAATAGGGTTTCCGTGACCCATCCCCTTCAAGCAGTAAACTATAAACTTCATAAACAAGCTAAGAATCCAAAAAAGCACCTTTAACTGATAA